CTCCTACTCCTGTGCAGGTCTGTTCTTTTGGCTTTGAGTATTCGGATCTCTCCTTCTCCTTCCATTTTTTTTTTAAGGGCCATGTTTTTATTTTATTTATTTATTTATTTTTGGTCTGGTCATGGGGCCTGAACTCTGGGCCTGGGCGCTGTCCCTCAGCTCTTCAGCTCAAGGCTAGCGCTCTACCACTTGAGCCACAGCGCCACTTCTGGCTTTTTTCTTTTTGCTTATGTGGTGCTGAGGAATCGAACCCAGGGCCTCAGGCATGCAAGGCAAGCGCTCTACCACTGAGCCACCTTCCCAGCCCCGATTTTTTTTTTTAAAAAAGAGATAGAATCTCACTTTTGTAGCCGAAGCTGGCCTTGAATTCCCAGTTCTGCCTCGGCTTTCTGAGTGCTGGGATTACAGGCATGTGACACCACACCCAACCTGCCTTGTGTTCTTGGACCAGAGAAGTTAATTCTCCCATCTGAAGCCAGCGATTGCTTGCACTTTCAGTAAGAAAAAGCCAGTAGTGTGTTTTGAAAGTTCTCTGGGTAATTGAGAGCTACAACCAGCGTTGAGAAACAGCTCAGCACCCTGCTCCAGCTACCTTCTAAAGGATTGGAAAGGTGAGCCTCAGCTCCCCCAGGTTAAAAATTAGAGACTGAGCGAGAAGAGCAATGTATCCTGTCTTCCCAGTTCCAGGCCTCAGGGATCCTGGCAGCTCTGCAGGCTCTGGTAAGGCCTTTACTTCAAGGGTGGCTACCATGTCCATGTGTGTCCAGTTGGCTTTGTTTGGCTACAGCCACCCACCTCCACTGCACAGCTCTGCAGTCTTGAAAAACTGACCACCTCTGTCCCTGCTTTAATGGCATGGTGGGAAAGTTCCCCGTACAACTGGAAAAATAGTCTTAAAATAGCGAAAGTAGAAAAGCAGACGGTTCTGAATTGTGCCGGCCAAAATATGGATGGTTAAAGCCCAACCCATTTATAGTGCATTTATTTCACTTTGGGTTTTTAATGCGCTGGGGATGGGGAGGGTGAGGTCGCTACAAAATTCTCTGCCCAAGCAAATTCTGTCCCAGCTGTGGCTGACATTTTGGGCCTTTAAAACTCACACTGGACCAAGGCAGACGGGGAGGGAATCTAGTCCCTCTGGGAGTGCCTCAGTGTACAGCTCTGATCAGGGTGGTGGTGTGAAACACTCCAAGAGCAGTACATCTAGAAGAGCACTTTCTAGAAGGAAGGAGACTCGTGTCTCATCAGCCTTTCTCCTTCTGTACAGCCTAGAAAAAGCCAGCTTGAGAGAGAGCCAGTGACCTGCTAAGGGACACAGAACAGACTCGCTCAGAAATGGAGAGGGCATACATTCCTCTGCTCATGGCCCAGAGCTCTTGCCAGCCCCCTGCTGGGCTTTTGGGGGGAGATGGATGGAGGAAGCCTAGCTTCGAAGCAAGCTGGACCCTGGAGTGGGCGTGGCACCAGGAGTTGGCACAGATGCAGACAGCGAGTTGTGCTTTCTGATAGTTCCTAAGTCAGGCTGTGGTGGGAGGAAGAAGTTGACAGAGGGAGAAAAGGGGTGAAGAGGACAGAGGGGGGCTGACTCTGTTGTCAGCTCGGTGCGGCACAGCCATGGCGTGCTCCCAGAATGCCCTGGGTGGGAACAATGCTGGGGCTTCAAACCACAGCATGACATGATGGTAGTGTCAGCCATAGGGTACTCTTCCCTACCCAAGGAGAAATCCAGAGGTTGAGCCCACAGAAACTCAGTGATGGCTTCCGTTCCAAGTTCTTCCTGCCCTTCTGCCCCCCATCATCAAGATGTTAGCTTTTGATCTCCAGATTTGTTACCTCATGGTTATAGAATGGCCAAGACTGCTCCAGACCTCTCACCCATTCAGAGAGGAGTTAATGGGCTTTCTTCTCTGTCTTTTTATTAGAGAATAAATGTTTTTCCATGTGCTTTATTGGACCCTTCTAACTGTGAGGAAGGCTGGCAGAGGTGAGCATGATAGTCATGATTAGCTGTGGCTAAGGTGGAAAGTTCTAGAAGTAGTTATGCAATGGGAGTGAATGAGCCAATTAGATGACAATCAATAGCTGGGGGTGGGGAGGGAGACCAAATACAAAGGGGCAAAGGTAAGTCTCAGGGGGTAGAAATACAGCACCTGTTACACGGGGTCCTGGCCCATGATACAGGTTTCTCTTGCTAATAAAAAGCCCTCCTTATGGTAGGCAAGGGTCTTCTATTTTCATCTGTTCTATTTTATTTTGGGGGAAAAAAATAAACCTTGCTGATCAATTCACCCTAATGGATGTGATCCAGAGTTTGGAACCTGGTATCCTTGCTTCTGGTGTGATTCATGACCCCGTGGAGAAGAAGGGGAGCCCTGCCCTGTGTGTGAGCTCCTGGTGGCAACCGGGACCTCTGTCCCCCATCCAGAGAACACCGGGTCCCTCAGTTAAAGTGGGTCCCCAGGCCACCCACACTTCGGTCCAACATGGCTTGCAATTTGAGGGCTCCCAGGGCAGCTGTTCAAGTGTGACAGGGCATCTCACAGAGCCCCCTGAAAGGTTGACGATCCGATGACAGCTTTATTTCAAAGCATAGAACTCAGGAAGTACCAAATGGAAGGGATATGTGGGGTGAGATCTGGGGAAGGTCGGGTACAAAGCTCCCCTGCTCTGAGAAGCTGGGTGCAGCATTCTCTCTCCCGTCACCAGCCAAGGAGCCCCTGAGCTCCCACATCAGAGGTTGGATGTCCTCATCATCGCTGACTAAATCATGGGCTCTCTGGGGGAACTGTCTCCAGCCTGCTCCCCTCCTCCGTGTTAGGGTATGGCCGGGAGGTGCAGTGCTCTAATCCTGCTTGTTCCCTGGGACCAGCTTCTTCCCGGGAGTCACCTGTCAGTGTTATCTTGGGGGCTCTCACAAGGCCTCCTTATGAGTGAGACCTGCCCTGGCCCTCAGGAAAGCCCCAGGGGTTCACAGTGCTGTGCCAGGAGTCAAGGACAAAGAGCAGCCACATTTTATCATACCCACTTGCCTGCTGTCGCTCACACCCTGGCGCCTGTCCCACCACTCTCCATGGGTTTGATGGATGAGGAGGCACTGGGCCTTGAACCTTTAGAAAAGAGACAAAACAAGCCATGCCTGAGGGGCAGTTCAAGTTCAGGTTCTATGTAGCCTAAGCAGAAGAAAGGATGGGAGCCGAGTGCTTCCTCTGAGCCCAGGGCAGGGCTGGGAGAAGTAGAAGAGCTCCAGCTGGCCCCCAGCCCGCAGGAGGGCTCCTCCCAGGCTGGCATCCCCCCTTCATGGCTCCCTCTGCCTGCACCTGGTCCTATGCTCTGGTTACCCTCCCCTGCATGTAGAGAGGGCTAACTAACCTCCTTTCCCAACACAGCCACAGCAGACTCACCCTTACCACTCCTCCAATGTCCTCACACACTCACAGAGCCCAAGACCTGGAGAGAAAGGCAAGGAATGGGGGTAGAGGTCCAATGTCCAGGCTCTAGAGTCTGAAGGGCCTGAGCTCAAACCCAGCTCCAGCACTACGCTCTACACAGTGATCAGAAGTATTTCTTGCCACATTCTTCCTCAGTTTCCCCATCTGTAAAACAGGACTCGCTACAGAAGCCAGTGGGATCATGAGACCCACTGCTCTGGTGTTTGGGCGTGGGGCAGCCAGGGCGGGGAAGGTGTCATCCATACATCTTAGTAGCAATTACAATGATCTCACTCTATCACTAGTAGCCAGCAGCAGAATTTGGAGCCTACAGGGAAGTGTTCTTCCAGAGTTCCCCACACGGGGACCATGTCCCTGCCTTCAGGGACTGGGTCATACTCTAGCTGGCAAACTCCAGCCATCTGCTTGGGGACCAAGCAGGGGGAACTCAGACTCCAGAGGTGCGGTGTATGTTGGGAGGATGGGTTGAGAGAAATGCGGAAAGTGACTCAGCCCTTCTGACCTTGAGTATCTGTGCTGCAGGTAGCTGGGGACATTCCAGAAGGCATCACAAGAGGAGGAGGGGTAAGCTTGGGCAGGACCACTAGAGACTGAAGAGGGCATTGTAAAACAGCAGAGGCAGTGGCAGGCAGGGAGAGGCCCGTCCAGAGATCAGCCCTGGAGGCCACTGCTCTCCCTCCCTCCCCCAACACCTCCTGATGCAGAACTAATGCCCAGGCCCTTTAGAGACACCATCTGGCATGACCCTTGCTTACTAAAGCACAGGTGCATCCTGGCCTAGAGGCAGGTGTCTTTCTGTCAGTGTAGAGAGAGGCCCAGCAGCAGAGCCTCATCAAGCAGAACTTGCAGTCCAAGGGGTTGGGAAGGTGGCCCAGTGGTAGAGCGCTTGCCTTGCATGCCTGAGGCCCTGGGTTCGATTCCTCAGCATCACATAGGCAAAATGAAAAAAGCCAGAAGTGGCGCTGTGGCTCAAGTGGTAGACCTCTAGCCTTGAGCTGAAGAGCTGAGTGACAGCATCCAGGCCCAGAGTTCAGGCCCCACAACCGGACCCCCACACACACAAAAAAAAGAACTTACAGTCCATAAGGAGAGACCTTAAAGCGTAACAGGCCCAAATTCAATAGCCTGAACCCCAGCTCACTTCCTTATGTATAGTCAACCCTGGCGAGGCAAACCAGTGTCCTATAGTCCCAGGCCTTTCTGGACCCCTTGAACCCCCACTTCAAAGCCAGCCCCACAGTGTGGAGCCAGCATCTTAGGTGGAGGTCCTGAATGCTGAGCCCCCCCACCCCACCCCTTGCCCAGACTCCCTTATCTGCAGTGCCTTGTGATTGACACATTCGGCAAGCCAATGAGAAAGAGACTCAAGGAACCTCCACGTGGCTGTGAGCCAGGTCCAAGTGACAGCCCCGGGTGGTCTTCAGGGGTGCTTGGCTGCTCCCCACCCCACACTTGTTTCAGGACCCTTCCAGCTGACTTCTACCTTACTGTGGTCTTTCTAGCCTCCACCCAAGTCTGACTCAGGAGCTGACTCTGTTTCTTCCGTTTCAGACGTTCCTCGTCCGCCGAGACAGCGGCTCGAAGCACCTGGTGTTGTGTGTTCACTTCCACTGTCAGAATGACAGCTCCTCTGAGGTGCTGGAGTACACCATAAGAGAAGAAAGATCCAGTAAGTCCTCGTCCTCCCCTCTTCCCCCTCCAGCTCACTTCCCCCTCTCAGCAGCAGCAGCAGCCATAATAACCCATAATAACCACAGCCTCTCCTCTCTACACCCACTGTGTTTGAAAGTCAAAGAATGAAAACTCGTTCAGCCTTCTGATGCTCCTTGGCCAGACCTGAATGCTAGAGAGAGGGAAGAAAAGAGGGGAAAAGAAAATGTCTGCCTTCCCCATCGCTGGTCCCGGTGACATCTTAGCCTACACACAAATGGTGACGAGACAAGTCATTTGGTTCTGTGGAGCCTCAGCATCCCCTTCTGTCCAATGGACATACAATCCCCATGCCTGTGTGTGTCTCCAAGCTTTGTGAGGTTCAAGTGCAGGCTGAAAGGCAAATGCGCTATGTGTGTGTACAAAGGAGGCCTGGGCCTTGATGGAGAGCTGTGTGGGGTCTCCGGTGCTGGGCTGGGGTTTTGCTGATGGATAAGATTTTCAGATTTGGGCCTCTCTAGACTTCTGGGTTCAGCATCAACCAGTCCCTTCCTCCTCTCATGGCCAAGCCTCTGTATACCAGGTGTTAACAGAGAAATCCATGGAATGTTCTAAACATTGCTGGCATCCTCTGAGAAGTCATGTTGCCCGGTCAGAAGCACAGTCACATTAAAGAAGTCTCTTTAAATATTCATAGCCAGTGGCTCTGCCTAGAATCCTAGCTGCTTAGGAGGTAGGGATTGGGAGGACTATAATTTGAAGCAGATGATGAGAAGTGACAGCAATGTCAGGTGGAGAGTCATGGTGGGGGAACATGGACATACAGAAGCTTCATTTGCTGGGTGGAAGGACTTTCACCCAGAGGACGCTACCTTCTGCGCACATGCAAGATTCCTCTTCGACAGGAACCTGTGGGTGACAAAGGCTCTGGCACATTCAGCATGTGGCCTCCAGTTTCTTAGGGCTTAGTCCATCCTACATGCTAGAAGGGAAAAGATCCTGGAGGAGCCTTGAGGGTAGGTCTTACTGTCCAGGCTTGGAGTGGGTGTGTCCCCTTTGTTCACATTTTATTGGCAGGAACTCTGAATCACCTGATCAAACCTACTTGCAAGGAAGCCTGGGAAATGTAGTCCACGCATGTACTTATGAAAAAGCAGACAACCTAGATTTTCATGAGCTGCCAGGATTCTGCTCCCTGGGTGGGGTGGGGAGGGCGGGCTTTGGGGCAGATAGAGTAGAACTGGGACAGGCTGTTCATTTATATAGACATGTGTATAGCCAACTTAAATGAGTAGAGTCTAGAGGTGAGGGGGTAAAGGAGTGGTAAAGAAAGGGGTTCTCAAAGAGGGATAGGACTGTTATATTTCCACAGACCAAGTACTTAGTGTCTTATGGTAACTATAGAAGAGGTTGTTTGGGGGAAGGAAGGTGCGTGTACTGTTCTCCACGAACCTGAGTTCTTTCTCATGTGGCCAGCAGCAGGTATTGTCTGTAGGTGTTTCTAGGACCAGAGGAGGGAGTGTTGCTCAAGGGCAGGGACCCAAAGTTTCTTGAAAAAAATCAAGAGGGGAAATAGGCCGAACCAGCGCCCTGTCTGGTTCTGCTTTTCTCCTTTGGGCCTGTGCCCTGCCCACATTGCCATCCCCGCCTCCACCATCATTTCTAGCTCTTTGCACCCCAAATACAACACAGGTCCAGGAGACTGTATCTGATTTCATGACTCATTTCCAATTAATAGCTCATGAAAGAAAAACCAGAATTGGGCAGTAGTTAACAGGCTAAAAACGGGTGTTAAAAAGAACTTCAGTTTAAAACTGGCCCAATCTGGAATGCAGCATGGGCAAGTGGGTGTTGATGACCAAGGAACAGGTGGGTTGGGGGATGGAAAATAACTCGGGGGAAGCTGAGAGGGTAAGGATCATTCTTAGGTCATTCTGACCTAAGGCATTCTCACTGAAGACAGGCCAAGATGGACAGACACCACCTGACTTCCAGTAGCTGAAACACTTGGTCCGATATTGAGGTCAGTCAGATAGCAGGGGTAGGAGGCTCTTGCTAAAACTGGATTTTACAAGAAAGCACACAAAGTAACTTAGGAGAAAGTCCAGGGACCTGAGTAAAGTTTGATATGGTAAAAAGGAAAAAATTCCATGAATCCCAAGACACACCAGAACTTTCAGGAAGGAAAGAGCGTATGTCCCTGAGTCCTGTCTTCCTCCCAGACCAGTAGAATTCTACCTCCTGATAGAATTTCACTTTCCATTTTAAAACTTAAGAATTCAAGCTGGGCACTATTGGCTCATACCTGTAATCCTAGCTACTGTGGAGGCTAAGATCTGAGGACCATGGTTTGAAGCTAGCCTGGTTAAGACAGTCCATGAGATTCTTTCCTCCAATTAACCACCAAAAGAAGGGGAGGGGCTGGAAGTGGAGGTGTGGCTCATGTGGAAGAACACCAGCCTTGAGCAAAAAAGCTCAGGGATAGTGCCTTAAGTTTAAGCCCCAAGAAACACACACACACACACACACACACACACACACACACACACACACACACACACACACACACACACACACACACACACACCCCAAGAACCACACACACACCCCAAGAACCACACACACACACACACCCCAAGAACCACACACACACACCAAAATACAAACAAAAAATTTCATGTAACCTAACTTTTCTAATTAATCCTTGTTTGAGCACATTCTCCATAAACATCCATTAAACATGCCTGTGCTTTTTATTTTTGGTTGGTCATGGGGCTTGAACTCTGGGCCTGGGCACTGTCCCTCAGCTCTTCAGCTCAAGGCTAGCGCTCTACCACTTGAGCCACTTCTGGTTTCCTGGCGGTTCATTGGAGATAAGAGTCTCACGGACTTTCCTGCCCGGGCTGGCTTTGAACCGAGATCCTCAGATCTCAGCCTCCTTAGTAGCTAGGATTATAGGTGTGAGCCACTGGCTCCCGGCTGCCTGTGGTTTTTGTCTGCTGTGTCCCATACCTCCTTTCCCTGGGGCCTACCACTAGAGCAAGGCCAGACAGTGTCAAGGAGGTAGCAGGTAGTCTGTCACGCACTGCTCCTACCTGCACTCTCTCTGTTCTGTCCCATACCCATGACCATGTGGGAAGAACATAGTCTGTGGAAGCCACAGAGCCTGTTCAGTCCCAGCTCTGAGTCTTCCTATGTGACCAGGGCATGGGACGGCGCCTCTTCAGGCTCCAAGTCCTTGTGTGTGAGGACCAAGATGATCTTCCTCAGAGAGTTCTGGAAGGAACCAATGTGTCCAGAGTGCCTGAGACTTGAGCCACTGTGGCCAGGGCGGGGGAGGGGGAGGTTGAAGAGGAAGTGGTCAGGGGAAGGCCCAGGCCTGGACCTGGAGCCTACACTGGGGTTCCCCACCCAGAGCAGAGGAAGGGGATGAGATAAGGGGGTGCCCCGAAAGTGAGTGGTCAGCCTCCGCTGAGGCCTCACACCAAACATTCCCTTTGACCACTTCTGTGTTTCTGGGAGCTTGGAGTGTTCTGTAGTTTCTTTGTAAAAGGGCAGTCAGTCTTGCTGCTATAACAAACAACCTTACACCCCAGTGGCTTGCACAGAAATAACTTGGATGTACCAGTGTGCATGTATGTATGTGACCTGTGTACCCAAAGCAACATGAGTATATTTCTCACTTATATAATGGGCTAGCTGAGGCTTTTAACAATAATGTCTTTATGCTTTAGTGCAACTAGAAGAGCAACATAGGTTGGGGAGGGGAAAGAGAGAGAGAGCCTGGGGGAGGGAGAGAGAGAGAAAGAGAGAGAGAGAGCAAGAGCAGAATTTCATGATAGCTCTGGAAGGTTCCTCTTAGAAATGGCAGCCACCACTTCCCTGAGCATCTCATTGGCTAAACCAAGTCACATGGCCAGGTCAGCCACCAATGGGATAGAATATATATATAATCCTTCTATATATATGTGCATCCAGCATGGAGAGAAAGTAACTCTCTTCTGAACAAGAAATGCATGAGGAGTGGGAACCAACAGAAGAGGCTGGGCAAAAGGCATATGTAATGAAGCCAGACACAATGGATGAGGACTTCCAGGCCTCTGGGTGGTAGCCCTGCCCCCTTGGTGTCTGAAATGGGCCATCTTGCCAGGAGAAGACTACAACAAAAGTACCCCTTACCGAAAATGCTTGGAATCAAAAGTATTTTGGACATAGGGATTTTTTTGGGGGGTTGGAATACTTATGTATACTTAATGAGAGATACTATGAGAAACAGGATCCAAGTCTAAACACAAAACATTCATGAACACAAAACATTCATTGTCCCGTATGTTCAAGATGTATCTTAGGCACGTAGCCTGAAGGTTAACTCTTAGAATGTTTTGGCACTTTAGCCTTCTGACTGCAGTTTGTCAGCTGTACTTGTGTTGGCTCTAAAAGTTTGAGATTTGGGAATATTTCAGTTTCCAGTTGGGGGTGTTCAACTTGTACCTACTTTTTCGTTAATGTGCTTAGAAGGTGGTTACAATGGCATATTTATGGATGCCATTTTCCTGATGGCTGTTAAAAAAAGAAAGAAAGAAATGAGGAGAAAGGGTGGGAAGGAAGAGGAAGGGGAGGAGGGAGGATGAGCAGTTGGCCCCTCTCTGGAAGAGGAATCCGGAGGCAGTGATGATGGAGTGGTGTGGTATGGCCCATGCAGGAAGTGCCACCACCTGGCATTCACAGTCAGAGCCTCAGCCCACTTCACTCCCTGCTGTTCCCTCCGTCTCCCCGACTCTTGGCTTCCAAAGCACCTATCTGGCCAGCTCAGGTAGGATGTCTCCTCACCTGACCAAATTTCCCACTCTTGGGTGTGTGACTTTAGATCAAGTCATTGATGTGGGTACTGTCTCCAGGGCAAGTATGGTGACCCCTTCATACTCTTTGGCTGGTGATCACCACCACTGTAGCAGGGTAGGCCTGTAGCAGGACTTTTAACCCAAGTAAGGGAAAGATTGTAGGTGAGTCCTCCTGGGC